ATGACTGTACATGTCAGCATGTTCTTGACAAAACCTTGTATTCTTGGAAGGAATTTCCCAAATTTTCTCTTTCTAATTGGCTTTGCAATGTGAAGTTTGTAAATATCCTCATCCCAATTCTGCAGTGCAACACTATCTATAAGGACATAGCTTGAATTGGAGTACATGTATGAAATAAAGTGAACACAGGAGCATAATGAAGGCATTTTCCTTGGGGGGCGTGCCAGTGTCAATTTGCCAACTTGTAACTTGTTTGCCAACTTCGTAAAATCACAATTAAAGTGCAGAAAATGAAATCCATGTTACGTTACCGGTACATTTCATACTTACAGGGAAATGCCAATGGCTAACATGTACATGTATTGTTCATGTACCCATCTTGGATTCATTTGCCAACCGATGCTCTCTTTGCCAACTGAAATTGTTTATTGGGGTGACGCATCCCTCCCCCATTCCCCTGGTTGCTACACCCCTGACTGGAAACCCATTCACCATCCGTGTGTCCTAAAAATTGCTGCCATTTTTAAACAATTATTTCTATGCAAAAGGCACTTTGTGACTCAACACAAGATACAAATCGTAAGTTTGCCAAGCCACAAATCGAATGCTCAGTCCTCTAAAAAAAGTGTACCGTCCGGTTTAATGCGTATGAAGGGAGTCTTACAAAGCAAACCATTTGTGTTGAATGATACGATTGGCCTGCCCATTTGCATGGGCTTGGAATGGACCAATGGGGAACAGTGGCTTTTCAATGTCAAGCTTAAGTATAATTTAAGCATATTTAGACATTTTCATGTAACATGAATCATCACCACAGTGACTACTGGTAATATGATCTTCAGCGACCATGTCTGAATAATGAAACAACCAAGGAATAATCATCATGATCTTGGGACACATTTCTTTCATAAACATCACAATGATGGCCAACTTTTTTCATTTAGAGATTTAACTAACATTATGTGATTAAAGACCAACTCCAATGATGCTAACTTTTCTCATATTGAATCCAATTCATAGGAGGCAAGTCTAATAAAAGGGGCACATATCAATATCTTGTTTGCAGTACACGTTTTTGTATTAATTTAATAAAACACAGTTTTTTTACCCATTTTTCCTGCAAGTCCAGTCCGGTATTGTAAACATGGATGTGTCGTCACAACTCATTAGCATCTACATTGTAACAAATACTGATTTTTGTGAGAGAGGAAATACCACAGTGGGATTAAGTGCGGGCGGCGCCGTTGTTGTTGTCTTTTCAATAGGGGCCAAGATTAGCCTGCAGTGGTGCTGTGTGGCTCATCGCTGCAGTGGTGGAGCGCTTTTGTTCCCGGTGGTAATCCGCTTGCACTGAATGCCCTAGTGGTATACTGTTTCAAAAAAAGGCTGGATTATCAAAACTATTGACAGTGAAAAAATGTTGGTAATTCCCAGCAGCCTGGTGTTTTGTTAAGAGTGCAGTCTTTTCTTACAAGGCCCAGTTCCTTTGTCCGATTTCAGAGACCCCGGCTATGCATGCCCAAAACTGGGCTCCTGGCAGCAAGTGGTTAAATACATATTTACGACCGGCCAAGCACATTTATTCTCATGTTGAATACTGACAAATGAAAATATGGCCTTACATGTCTTCAACAATATTCAGATGCAAATTTCTGACTTTCATTCTCATGGCATAATGTTTTGGAGGTACACTTTTTCCATAAGTATGATAAGGTTGTAGGACAGTGTATGTTGAGTATGACAATGCCTTGCTTGTTTGTCATCCAAACCCGCAATGCATTGTGAATGTCAGAAAAGTTTATTGATCTTACACTGTACATGAGACTGGTAGAAGGTAGGCCCCTAGTTTCTAGGACCCTGCTGTTATCCGATTATGTCTAAATGCAGGAGGTCGTGGGTTCGAGTCCCACCCGAGTACACTTGTGGTTTTTTCACAAGCCTTTGGGGACATACATTGAGCATACAGTGTTAAACTACACGTCGGGCAAGCAAAATTATATGTCTAAATGTTTAGAAGGTTCTGGTTCTGGTGGGATTCTGATTCGTCTCCTCAGCAGGGATGTAACACGTAGACGGGCAAGGTGACTGAAGAGCATTATTTCCATGAAATAGCCCCCCGATGATATCATCCATATTTACAAGTAGAAATTTTGTCTTAAAGATTCCAATGCTTTGTGCTTGACGAATTTCAGAAGGTAGGTAAGTTACTCCAATCAGCAAAGGTTCTTTGAAATACAGTGTAGAGAAAATCTGTAGCAAGCTCTCTGTGCAGATGGCTTGATGAATGGGATTGCTGCATGTTATCTAATGTAAGTTTTCGCCTGGCATGAGTCCATATAAAAAATTTGTTGACGATTTGTAAAGGAAGGTCGGTCTCTGGGCCTTGGCAGCTCTGCAATGTTCAAAGGGCTCTCATTCCAGCTGAGACAGCACTTTGGTGACACTTTCCTTTTTCCTGTTCCAAACAAATTTGGCAGAATGCCAATGAACCCCTTCCGACTGTAATTTCTGCTATTTATGGCAGTATGGTAGGGCAGTACTCAGGACAAGGTTTTACAAATATTTTATAAGCCACGCTTTAACTGCAGAAGAGCAACTACATGTACATGTAGGTTTCTACATAGCAGTCCCGGTATTTTGTTTGCTTTTAATGCGAGTTGCCCAGCTTAAATTTATTATTGAGTTTGACCCCTACATGTACATGTAAGTTGGTGTGGCTGGTTACTGCCAGTAATGTCAAATCCTCCATCTCATCTGCTATAATTGGCTTCTTTTTATGGGTAATTTGCATTGTGTAATGTTTAAACTTGCTGAATTTCCTTTGCTATCATTGTTTCCATGCATAAGTGGAGGGGGTCAATATCTTTTGAAGATCATGACTATCGTTATGTTTTGTTTTTGTCTATACAAAATCAAGTCATATGAAAATAGACATACTTTTGATGTTATTCCATTTGAGATAATCATGTATACCAGGAAAAGTAAGGGCCTAAACCATACCTTGTGGGGCACCACGTGTTACTGAAATGGATGATGAAGTAACACCCTTTAGTATGACTTGCTGAGTTCTTTAGGTGAAAAAGTGCCCAAGCCAAGAATGGAGTGAACCATTTTTTCCACATGGCTACAGTGGATGATGTCAAGACACCATGGCCAAGCTAACCAACCATTCACAAAAAAGCATGCAATGTCTTAATGCATATGACGATGACTGTTTCCTGAGCAGTGCAATGTTTAGTAGCTACATGTACCAGTACATGTAGCTTTGTCCACATTGAGTTGTACAGTGAACATTGCACTGCTTAGGACACAAACGTGGGAATGTGCAGTCCAACACTGCATGTTTTTGTAAATGGTCTGTTAGCTCGGCGCGCGGCTGGTGCATCGTGACATCACCTCCAGGTACATTAGCATACAGTTTAAACCGCTAAGAAGAAGATGGTGACTTCGAGCTTGAAAATAAAAGTGTTTCCGATTTGAAGGGGAAATTTCTCTTTTCTTCCCACATGTGAGTCAACCTTACCATCATCATTAGAATCTCCAATTCTTGTTTAATCTTAGGCCGGACTCATTAAACAGTTTCAGGGCCATTTTGCAGGTGAATTTTAAGGATTTTGATTTGGGGGTATGAAAATGAATGAGCTTTTTTGAGTGAAATAAATTAACAGAAGCAGTTGCTATTTAAAGGTCAAAGATTTTATGATTAAGAGTCTACCTACTGATTCACCCATTACAGCAAGTTATTCTGACCTCAGGCTTTGCATCATGTTTTCCCACCTCAACCAATCATGCACATGCAAATCAGGTGTTCCGACCACTAATGGCGTGAAGCCGTGCACCGCATGTCATTCAAAGTTTGGTCCCAACTACATGTACGTCCTGTAATAGTTGGATTGCAATTTCTTCTTCAAGTTTACTCCGCTATGCCCATAGATTGTTTTGAAGAGGCAGCAGATAGGGTTTTCAAAGCGTAATCTGATTTAAAATGATGCAATTTCTTGTGACGACTTGGTGGTTTGTGAAACTCTGATGCCTGGCGAAATTAGGGCAGCTGGCAAAAAATTATAATGCACCTATTTTTAATGACACAGACCATGCAGTGTATCAGTACATGTACGTCCAAAACCATGCTGTACACAAGAAGGCTTTTGGTACTGGTCCCCCCTCCCCAAAATATGATTTTGTCCCAATAGTTTTACCTGTTTCCATTGCCGACATTGTGCAGCATGGGTTGCATTTTTTTTGCCCAAGGTCTTATGAATGAAAATGATGCTCTGCACACAGCAATGCAAGTGACTCGTCATTTGGCTTTCATGGTAATAAATATATTTCCCCCTCCGTTTTTCTGGACAGATATTAAACATGTTAAAGCATTTGCACCCAATTATACTACAAAGTATACAGTAAATGTGCTATTGATTTTACAGAATATCAGGCACAATTAATGTAATAGCAAAATTATAAAGTTACCACCTAAGCATGGGCGACTTAATCATCAGAAAGACATCATTACAATTTACATCAAGTAAGAATAACCACGTCAAAATAGAAGCAGGCTTATCAAAGTATCTTGTTAATACCTGAAAACAAAACAAAACAAAAATACGTGATTATCAAGATTAATGCCAAAATTCATATTTGGGTGGGAAATATTCTCACTTTCGGCAGTTCGGGATGACATCACTGAGTCTTGATTCTTCTTTCTGATTGGTGGCTATTCCATATTTCACACTCAAAACTCAAAGGGGCAAAAGTAGTGTTGTGGTATATGGGGAAAATCTGAATTAGGCCTACTGACTAAACTTCTAACCTTTCCATCTGTAGGCCTATGCCCAAAATTTCACTGTTTATGCACAGTGAATATCTTCCACACTATACTGAAAAGGTTTCAGTTATTTTCATCATGATGCAGCAAAACATCAAGAAAACATGCAAATCCCTGTACAATGTGAATGGAGGATTACCCCTTTATTCAGCCGCGAATGCAATAAATGGAACAACCTCCAACAGCACGACGCGTCAGCAGTTGACTTACTGTGCAGAGTAATCGTCTTCAAGTCATCGTTTGCACACACCCAAGCCATAGAATCTCCAACTATGTTGTTGCAATTCTTACACTGCAGAACCACCGGTACGTCGTTGTCATCCTCTGCTGTTTCATCGTCCTCTGTCATGTCTGTCTCCTCGTAATTATCGTTTTTTTCGTTGTGTCGCAGTGACACCCCACTATCATGACTGCGGGCCGCCATTTTTAAACTCCCGGGAAAAATATTTGAGTGATTGGTTGCCGATCATTGATCCATTAAAATGCTGCCGACATGAGTCGGGAACCAGTCCAAAAATCTTCGACGGCTTTCGTAGGTACCCGTACCGAACACCAGCGTGCATTACGATACGATAATCTTTATTCAAGCAAGGAGCTATTTAGGACATCCTCTTGAGCGCCGGCGCTGCATGCAAAGGCAAGGCCGGTGGTAAATATCGAAACACGCGTTATCAATGATTCTCCATTCTCAGAGAAAGCCAGCCAGCTAGCCGCTCGCTCATTATACACGTTTTCGCTGAATATCTACCAGCACTTTTGAAGTTCTTGAACTACTGAAACATCCCCATTGCATCGAACATGTTTCAATGGCTTTCTGGAATCTTTCAACGTGGTCAACCATGGAGGAGACGTGTTTGTTACTCAGTCATGAGCAAAGATGTTATTGTACTCTCAGGCCTAGGTAGTCATGGCAGTCATCATAGTCATTCGTGTGTTCCAACCTCAGGGAATGCCTCATTAAAAGCAAGAAATCAAAATTACACGACTGTCAATAGTCTGCATTTGACTGGCCTCCATTCAAAACATCATAAAAACTGTCTACATGTACATGTATGTGGCCTGAGTTACCACATCGCAAAATGTTCTAGCATTTGGGCGAGTGTGCATGTACCTGTGCTTCGTTGGGTACAGAAATCAGTCAACTGTCGTAAGCCTACATTTACATGTCATAAAAGATGTCATGCTTCTAAGGCAGCAAAAAGAGGTAAAGGAAGCAAACAGCAATCAGAGGACACAGACTCGGATGAGGACATCATTGAAAGGGATGAAGATGATCTTGAGAGAGACTGGGATCCAGAGATTGATGGCAAGCTTGAGGACTCAGGAGAGGAGGCAGGGAATTCTAAGGAGTGGAAGGAGATACAACAGTTTGTCCCATCTTTAAGATTGGATGCTGTACTGAGTGCTGGATTAGGTGTTTCAAGAAAGTATGTCACACCTTCTGCAGAAGGAACATACGTTACCTAACCTTTGTTAAGCATGCATATTGTATGGCCCTTGCAGGAAGTGGCTCGAGAACTGGTGCCACAATTTTGCAAGGGTATAGAGTACTGAGGTGAAAAGTCATGTGCACAGTTATGTGTGTAAACTTAGCGCAAGAACCAACGTATGAACCAACGCATGAACTGGCAACATGTGTTTACTCCATTCAGTTGCACTGCACTGAACCTGGTTCAAAGTGACATTACACTTCTGTACTCTGTAGTGATGTGCATGCATAAGATCATTGATGTCATTTATATACACACATGTTCATGTTATGGTTTGATTTTGGTATTCATGATAGTGGATGATTTATCGTGACCTTTCATGTATTTTTTATTTACCGACACTTCCACTAAATATGCTAAAGACGTGCCCAATTGGTTTGAAGACCACTGTTGCAAGCAAGTCTGTTCCCAACTATCTGGCTCATCATGCAGGCTGACATTTATCTCTGGTTCCCCTGGCATGAATCAACTGAGAATATTTCCATTCCTCACAGATGGGATGCTAGTCCGTCACAGGTTGTTCCCCACATAACCTCAGGACCTACATGTGTACATGTATGTATTTGTGCTCCTTGGTGGAGAGAAGCAAGTAGTGGCAAAGTGACTTGCCTCAGCTGGGCCACACCGTACTGCTAGCATTTGAATTTAGACCATTGACCCTGTCAAGAGTCACAGCGTTGACCATGCTGGGGCCACATGTAGCCCAACTGTTTCTTTAATTGTTCACAATTGTAATTAAAAATATATTTCCTAGGGCAATGAGGGCAACAGCACGGTGTGTAGTGATTTGGACTTGTAACGTGGGATGATGGGTCCCAGCACTTGTTTGGTGTATTTTTCATAGATTTCCTGATTTCCACATTTTTCGTTATTCAGAAAATGATTTATAAGGTTTGAATATTTTCCTTTGCTTATTTGCAGCTTGAGGATAATTTTCTTGGGGGGGGGAATCATGCAGTTAATGTCATATCTGGTCCTTGTGCCTAGTACCAACAGGCCTTGTTTTTACTCTGGTAGACTTTTCACCTTCTTACAATTTGCCCCAAATGCATTTTATTTATTCTGCCATTAAATAATTATATTGTAATGAGACTTTTCAACGTTCTCATTGCATCATGGGATTGGATAAAAAAAAACAAGGTGTGTCTCAGTTAACCTCAGTTTCAACATATGTTTCACCCTTTCAAAGGGTATTTTACTGCCTTTGGGGGTTTTATGATAATGATATTTCCATATTTATGAGCAGAACTGTGATGTCAACCTCAAGGTTGCATTGGTTTGTACACTAAAAGTCCTGCATTTTGGGAGATTTGGGTGAACTCAGTTTTCTCTTCTCTGCTGGTTTATTATTCTTTATGTGCATATAGCAATAAGCAAACACTAATGCCTTTCTCAAAAATGCTTCCCGTAAGTAAATTCTGGGTTCACAATTTGAACAGAAAAGCCTATGCACAGAACTCTGTGCTCCCCTGATGACTTCACTGCAACAGTGCCCTCAACAGTGCCCTCAACAGTGCCCTCAATTGTCCACGAAAGCATGGTTAATTTTAATTGTTTAAACAAGTGTACTTTTCAATGCATTTAACCAAATAGGAATGTAAAACAGTTTTTATACATTGAAGAAGAACACAAAGTTGAAGAAAAAATGTTTCTATGAAAAATTCATTTGCAGCGTACGTACATGTACTTAACATTTTACTTCTATGAATAACTTTATCCCAAGTCTACAGTGCATTATGGTGTGGAAAGAGGATGGCTTGATTTTGAGTATGTTAAAATTTGAAACATTGATGTACTAAAGGTTTACCTTCATAGGGTTATGTATACAATGCATTGCTTGTTTATGCAATCCCAAGATGCATTGCAAACACTGAAAAAGGTTTTCATATATGTATTTGCCACTGTTTTAATATTTGGTTCTACCCTTTGCTACTATGATCACATCACACACCTACATGTAACACATCAGCTACATTGTACACATTTTATGCAGTATGCACTATACATATGCACAAGCACTGATTTTGCCCAATTTTCTGATATCTTTTTCCTCAACAGAGGTCGTGATTGAAACCCTTTTTCCAGTAAGAGCTGAGTATACCTTTTGTACTTCGCGTACCTCTCCATCCATAACAAAAGCAGTACCAGGAAGATAGCGGCCATGCAAAGTCTTTATTGTTCCAGTTTTAAAATTGCATGTAAAATATATGTCTTCAAATAATAACACAGACATGTATTTTTTTATTTCATTTTAATGACAGGAAGATAGAAGAAGCATATCTTGGGGCAAGACTGAGAATTAATGAGGAAAAAGTGGCCAAAAAAAGCAAACAGGTACACATTTGACATTGTTGTCATGTTTAATGTAAGTACACCATCTGCAAACTCACCAACCACTATAGGCTGGGCCTGCTGCCCATATACTGTTGTTGCTTACATAAAAAATATGTATCATGCTATATACTTTCATGCTGGACACTGATCGTGTGTTATTAAAAATACATGTTCTTGGAAGAGAATGAAAATGAAAAAAAAAAGCAAAACTATCAAACAACATATTACCTGTGCGTATACTGGTACATTTGAGTACCTGTATGAGATGCAAAATGGTTCTTTGATAACTTCACCTTTAAAAAATCAGGCTTAAGGATTGGTTTGAAACAAATTTTGTCAAAACAAATACATGTACTTCTCTTTTAAAGTTCTTGTCATGTTGATAGGATCAACTGGTTTTGTTACAATGCTCTTTACAAATGTTAGGGCAGTGGTAGGTAAGCCCCTGTACTGCATGTGTGTCATTCAGTATTAGGTTATGTAGAAATCAGCATCTCTGAATTTATGATCTCAGATGCAGTTTTTCTGCAGGAATGGGGATATCAACTTTGCAAAAGAATGCATTCTTTTTCACATGCCTTTCCTTTCATGAAATGATGACAAAAAATATTGGAACAAATTTATACTTCTCGAGGGCTTGTCTTGATAGACCACTTGGACAAAATTACTCTAAGGTGGTTGAACTTGGATATTCCCTAAACATTGTGGCATGACATTCATGTACATGTAGCAGCTCTCCTTCCCATGGCGTATTACATTCTGTACAGGTAGCATGCAGACTCAGTGTTGTAATATCACAGTTAGTGTTTCGAATCCCAATATAATTTACATGCTGCAAGTAGGTATAGCAGTTTTTTATCTGCTTTAAAAGTATTGTTCTCTAACAAATGATGGTCTGAATCATAAATACGTATAAGAAGTGCAACTGCATGTACATGTACTTGGTTTATGAGCACATATATCAAATTTCTGCTGCCAGCTTCAGGTTTTTTTTTATAGTGAGGCCTCTGAACTTTGAAGCCCATGCCCCCTTCCTGTACATCATTTGTTGGGCCACCTCAGATCTGCATTACACGTACATGTACATGTATGTGCCTGGCATGCAGTCTGCAGGAAATGAGTCAATTGATTTTTCTCTCTTTCGAAATTGAAATTATATAATGTGAAAGGGAATTTATGATAATCTTTTGAAGGCCTTTCCTTATTATTGGATAGGTGAAAGAGGGAGACATCTTAGATATGATCCTGGAACGAAGCTCACCCTCAGCGGCAAAGGCTGGAGATACAAACAGTGACGGATTAACAGTTATGAGATTGCATGTTATGGAGATAGCAACTGATCGAACCGGCAGGGACAGGATACCGGTGCTTCTAAGAAGATGGAAGAATCTGAAAATTGCTAAAGAGAAGTAAATTTGACTTGTATGTGTTTAATGCTTTGTACAGTTGTGCATTCAGAACTGGACTTCACTGGACTATAAAATGGGAAGCCATTATTGTGATTCATCCAAATCTTAAGACATACATCTGGCATGTCACTAAGCAATGAATTGTTTTAAATTGTTTTTTTAAGCGCAAAAAATGGGCCAGTATTATATAAGACATCTAAATCAAAGTTTTCTCTTAATTTTTTTTCTCATATTGAATGTTATAGGACTCTCCAAAGTTGAAAGTCAACTCATGGATAATACACAAATAGTTACATTGGGATGCTAGATTTGACTTTGATCAAGGCATTTGGCTTGTCCTATCGCAGATACAGTCAACCTGTCATTTAATTCAATGTGATTTTATTCAAATCTAACTTGCAAAAGGCTTATTGCAGTTGATCAATTTTCAATAAATTCGGCTAATGCAGTCGGCTAACTGCATATTTGTGCTGCCATTGGCCTTATTTATAAAGTGCTTAACTCTATTTCTTGCCAGTCACTTAGGGTTATGGTCAGAGTTTGTACAATATCAGCATTGTGGCTGTAATGGTTTAAACCCTGCATGAAACCTGTGCTGGTCCTTCACACAAAATCTTGGGATATAAAATGTGAGGAAAGACAGACTGGTTGTGGCATTTGGATAGTTCAGCGGTTTTATGCTTTGGTTTAAAAGCACAAGTTGAGCTTACTTGGTTTCTCAACGTAAATGTAATGATTACGTCACTGTTCGTAGCGTAGTCCGTGATTGACATTGACCAGGGGAAAAATTTATTCTTTTTGCAAGAATGACTTTCAATTTTTTTATCCATGAAAGAATATCACTTATCCCCCCCCCCCGGAGAGGTTATATTTCTAAAATGTTCGCATTTTAAATCCTATACTGTAAAATCATTTTTAAAATTGGTAACATGTCCTCAGGGAGCTATCCCCCTGGATACACCACTAAACCAAAATGTCTGTTTTCAGGTTAACTACTAAAGAGATCTTGTCTCAACCGTTCTTCAGGAAACCACATGGACGTACATGTATTACCTTTGGGAATTACCCAATATACAACTATTGCATTGCACAGCCATTTGATTTGATGTCTCGTCTCTATTCTATGGGAAACTTTCCAAACTTCAAATTTTATTGTAGTGGTGTCATGTCTTTGCACAGTTCTAGTAAAAGATCGCAATTTTTCCTGTTGTTTCAAAGCTTTTAAGATGTGGGTATAACATGAAAATGTGTAATGTTGAAACAAACATCAGGATTTAAAATACGCAAAAGAATATTGAAGTTGAGCCTGGCTTCCATCCTGCAGGCCTGAATTTTATCCAAGATTTATTTTGGATTCTGAGCATGATCTTAATCCCATTCCTACACCTATCCAAAGGTGTAGTGTCCTCAGTTTCCTGTCAATCTGCATCCCTTAGACACAGTCAAAAGCCACGGACTTGCTGGGTAGGCACATACATGGCCACATGCTCGCAGATGACAGCAAGTGCCCCCTTGTTTGACCCATCATGATGTAGCTTTCACGTAATATTTCTTTTTATTTATTTTTTATAAACCCAGTCATATATACCTCTATCCCTATTCAACACAGTGCAACTTGACCGTATATTAATATTTGATAATGCCTGCTGAGAAGTGATTATGCCCACTACATAAAGCACATGCTGGCACCTGGATATGAGACAGTTTAATCAATTCTAATTGGTCAAGAGTCTGTGTGTATATGGCTTGCCATGCACGTGCCAAATTCATACATGGAGATCATTTTGGACAACTTGCACAAGGAATATACATATGAATCGGGGTGTTCAGGAAAATGAAAGGAAAATTAAAGCGAAATTCTAGAACACAATCATTGGAAATCCATCACACA